AAATGCACGCTGGAAATATATTTTCTCGTTCGGAGGGCTTTCTTTGTTTTTGTCGCCATGGGTCTGAGAGGTCCATCCTTCGCGCCGCGTTTCTTCCTTTGCCTCCCCTTGCGACGACTCGAAAGTGGTCTGCTCGGCTCACTGGCAGGAGGAACATGCTAGAGCGGGTGGTTGGTCAACGTGGGACGATTCAAATGTCGGGAGACACGGAGGGTTTCCGCGGATGGCGTGTTGCATACTGCGCTCGGAATGCTTCCCGATATCGCAGGACATTGCGGGCGGGATCCCGGAGTTGGGATGAGGTCGTCCTGTAGAGCCCTCCCCGCTCGTCTCGTGTCGGAGATGCGTTGGACGCGGTACTCACGACGGGCGCCGGGCAGTTTCTGTGAAGAGTCTGCCTTCCACATTGCACATGCGCGCAATCAGCTCAGCGGCGCTTTATTGCAGCTGTCCCCCGTTGCCGACCGCCCCCTTTGTTGAAGCGAGCTCCTCTCGCGCTCCGTCTCGCTGCCTCTCCACTTCGATCCTGATTCATTCCGGCCGTCCTTCCTGGGCCCTTAATATCACTTTTTTTTTTTTTCTGTTTCCTTCATGATTTCTTTTCTTTTCATCTCTTCACCCCCCCCCCCCCTTTTTTTTTCTTTTTTAGAGAAAAAAAAAAGGGGGGGGGGGGGGGGGATGCGGCGAGGGGTGCTTTTGTCGAGCAGCAGTGAGCAGAAGCGAAAGAAGGAGGCCGCCTCTTTCCATCTTTCTGTCTGCTTCGGTCCTCTTTTTTTTTTTTTTTTTTTTTCGTCTCGTGTTCTTGCTTGCCCCATCGCGTTCGTGTATTCCCACTTTGTGCTCGCCGCCTTTGATATCGCGCACAGCCAGTCGCCGCCGAGTTTGCGGATGGCCCGCCAGGGGCAGGCGCGTCGCCGTCTCGCTTGCTTATTCCACTCTATTTATCTAGTTTCTCTTTTCCTGTGTTTTTTTTTTCCCGGGAGAGCGTTTTGAAATGCTAAAGGATAAATGGTTGCGAAAGAAAAACAGATACATTTATGAACACGCTTACGCGTATTGACTACTGTCATTATGCGTGTTGGTTCATTAGTGACTGCTTTAATGCGACGTGACTGGTGCTTTTCTATGCGTGATCAGCCTTATATCTTAACAGGTTGCTTCGATAAGCGCGCAGTCCCGGAGGGGACATTAATCCTTTTTTTTTTTTTTTGTCTAGCTGCGAAAAGAAGTTTCGAAAAATTCTATAATCTCGAAGTGTCAGTTTACCTAGCAGCCATCACACTTTTGATTAACGAAAGATGAACTTTCTGACCCACCAAGTTCATCTTTCATATTTTAAGGGAACTCTCTTTCTTTCTTTCTCTTTTCTCTCTGACCACACCAAAGATCAGCAACAGTGTCGAAGCCTGTAGCCGATGTTTAGGTCTTGGTAGTTGTTTTTTTGTTTCTTTGTTTTTACAGCAGAGCTGTTAAGGGCTATTTTTCTCAGTTTCGTGTCCGTGGACAAATAAATCTCGACACAACCCTCTGGACAGCTACCGCCATCTGTGAGCGATGGTGGCAACAGACAATCGGCTTGCCGGTTGTGTGGTTGCCATCGTCGCTCACAGATGGCGGCACACACTACAGCTCCGCTGCTCTTCCTTCACCAAAGAGAAAAGGCTGAAAAAAAAATTTTTTTTGCCTATGAAGTTTTATTTGATTTTTATTATTTTTTTTATAATTAGCAGCTTCTTTTTTTTTCTTTTTTTTTTTATCTGCCGATCCTGATCTGGCTTACGGATCTCGGAGAACCGGCAGGCGCCATTTACTGTGATGTCGGGCACGGTCATCAACGTCCCTACATTCATCCTCAAACCTTCGCTGGAGTGGATACACTCGCGAAAGCTATCTGAACAGGCTAATGGATGTCAGTTGATTCTTTGGAAAAGGCAACTAGAGTTGTCGTGGCTCTGCGTCGCTCGGAACTCCACCGAACGGACGGATCGAACGCAGTCAAACCGAGGCCACAAGAGATGGCTCGATGTAGCTTCCCCCCCCCCCCCCCCCTTTTTTTTTTTTTTCGGAGTTTCAGAGTGAGAGCGTTGGCAGTAGCAAACGCTCTCACTCTGGAGGGAAAGAAACGCTACATCGAGCCTTCTCTTGCTCAGTAGCCCTGCATAGATGTTTATGAAATCTACTATAGCGTTTTCCACTGAGTCCACGAGTGGTGCACGGCGGCGCGCCGAAAGCATTCTCAGGTCAACATGGCGACGCCCTGTCGGTGTGAGGGTGTTCTGGTATCCCTGTCAGTCTCTCTTCCCGCGAAAGAAAGCTTCCCATGTTGGTTGCGTGTCGATCGCTGCGTGCGGCGCTGCTGATGCGTGGGGACTGTTCCCCGACTAGATCCGGCAACCCGATTTCTTCAACTCGGTGGAACTGGCGATGATTAAACGAGAAAACTTTTGGCGACGAATGCGGTGACTGCAGCGTCTATTCGTCGGGAAAATAGGCCTTGCCCGAAGCTGCTCTCTTTGAAATGGACAAAGAAAGCGAGGGCGAGGAAATACTGGCTGCGATTCGGCAGCTAGAAATCGTTTGTCGGCGATCGAGATGAAACCTTCTATTGGCTTGCGAAAGAAAACGACTAGACTTAGAATGCTGTATTTGCTTCTATTTTTGCCGTCCAGTTCGCTATATTTGTAAAGACTAGAGGGCAATCGCTCGATCTGTATTCTGTACAGAGCCATAGACGCTCTATCTGTAGAGGGCTATTGCACAGCGTGGCAGATTTGAGCTCATCGAGCGTGCGGCATATTTGTATAGAACGCGGTGAGCAGCGCAACCTTCGTCAACCAGCGATACAGGCTTTATTCGGTTGCCTGCAAATATCGGTGTCTCTTGACCAGCTCTTGGAATCCTCGTTGGTTGTCTGCCCTTCGGAGGAACCGTCATATTCTCTACCTCCGAATATTCCTATGATACCATGGTCAATAGATCGCATCTCGGAGGAAAATTCAGGACTGTTGGCTGTACTATATGTCTCTTTCTTGGACTGTACAGCGAACGCCCGGGATTTAGTACTTTCGTTTCGGTTGAAGGGGGGGAGGGGCGATCGGAATAAATTTTGAACGTCTATCTGCCTCGACATATACACTGTGTATAGTATTGTGAACAGGCCTATTTTAGCTACTTATAAAATATGACCCGTGGTTTTCATCCTTGTGGAGGTAATGGTACCTATGATATTGCACTGCCCTTTCTTGCCGATGTTTTGTCTTTTTGCCGGTGTTTTGTACATGTGTATTTTTTCCATTGAGTGCTGATGCAGTGTACTGAGGGGACTGGGCCCCGGCAGGCAGAGCTTATCTGCCTTTTGTCCTTTCTCCTTGTGACCCTGCGTCCGAAATAAATAAATAAATAACGAAACAAATAAATCACTGGCGGGGTTCGGACGGGGTGGCGTGCGCGAAACCTGCGCCACGTTCTCCTTGTTCATACGTCGAGACGCTGACTCGAGGAGGGTCCCAAAACCTGCGACGCCGTCCGCGGCGCCGAAAGGATTGCTGGGAACATCCTGTATAGAACCGACTGCAGGCGAGCGCGCGAGGGCGGGCGAGCGACTGCACTACACAGCTACTCTTTCTCTCTCTCTCTCTCTCGTGGTTTCTTCTGTGTCACGTGATCGATAATGCTGAGTCAAGGAGGAACATACAGGGCGTTCACATAGTCCGCTGCGCGATTCGCGCGCGGCTCACGCCGTCCGCGGGAGAACCGTAGCCTACCTTGGCTGCACTGCGGGACACCAGGCTCCATGGTGGTGCACTTCACAATGGAATTCGGCACAAGTCAACTGCACCCGACGTTCATCGTGTAGCGGTGCCAATCGGTCTGTCCTCGACCGCTAAGAAAATGTCAATCGCATTTTCTCGGCGGGGTTGGCATACACGCTTGGCGAGATGAGTGCTGAGCTCTTTTTTTGCTCTGCCTCCCCGAAATCGTGGGAAGGTTTGCCCGGTTCGGTGGGTAAAGTATGGGAGGGGGGCGACTTTATGGAGGATAAGCTGAGGAAAGTTGGAGTAACTGTGTATGCTGAGGGCTACTGAGGGCAGGTTAGCGGCGCCATCCCTGTGCAGCGATTGGAATTAGGAGCACCACCGCTTGGGATGCCGTTCCGGAGTTTGCTCGATTCTGCTGAGGTACTGACGGTTTTGAGCCGCCGAAGGCGACCCCAATTTTTTTATTCCAAACATTAGTTCCTGACATGGAATACCGGGTCTCAAACAATTCCGAATTCCCAACTCTTCTGCTTCCCCTCTCGCCGAAGGAAAAAAATTGCCATTTGGTAGAAACCTCAGCGTGCGTGCGTGTTCGTGCGTGCGCGCGTGTGTGCGTGCGTGTGTGTGTGTTTAAGGGGGGAAGGGAGGATAATGTATAATGACGCAAAATCAACATCCGCGGGGGGGGGGGGGGGGGGGGGGCGGAAGCTGTTTCATCGAGAATTCTTACTTCTCTGCGGTTATATGCTATTGAGAAGGGGGGGATCGAGCAAAGTTGCACGTCGTGACCGTTCGTTCAGTAGCCTTCTTTTTCACTACCGTGTGAGATAATTGATAGTATTCGGGAATTCCTCGGGGAAAGTTTATCAGAAAGTTTATCAGAGGGCGCCTTTCGTGGAGCTTTGTTGAAAGCTGGCAGTCAATATATTTAGAAATGTTCTTCCTCCACTAGTGACCGAAATTCTCTCAGGATATATGCCTCTCGAGTCTTCTTTCGGGGGGCTACACACGTCTGCACGTGCATGAACTTGTAGGCGACATGCTTTAAAGGCTCCGTGTTATTGGCCATCGTTTTGTCTTACTGGTCGCACGGGACGAACTGAACTGCACGAAACACATGTTTTGGTAGTGATCCGTTCCACGCGAGATCATTGTTGTTGTCAGCGCGGGTTGCGCGCGACGAGCGTGCGCTGGACGTCGGCGTTGCACACGTTGAACGAGCCGGCCTCTTCTCCGTCGCAGGAGCTGGCCACCGGCACAGTGAGTCCGCGGCACTGCGTGCGCAACAGCCCGACGGGTTCCGGCGGTGGCCCGAGCCTGGTGCCGGCCGGGCCGGCCCACGGGCCTCCGCATGGGCCTGCCCACGGCCCGCCCCACGGCCCGCCGCACGGCCCGGGCCACGGCCCGGCGCTGGAACCCGACGGCGGATGGAAGGGCCCGGCGCCGCCGCCGCACCACCACCCGGCGCTGATGGGCCACGGACCGCCGGGCATGGGCCCGCACCACGGCCCGCCTCACCCCATGGCCGGCCCGCCGCCGCACACCATGCCCGACGGACGGCCGCTCGAGCATGGGTACGCACTCGTCCCTTCCTTCTTTCCCCTTTGAGCTTCCAGATAACCAGGCCTCTGTGCTGGAGTTCTTACGTCACCTAGCGAAGGCCAGCCCGCGGCACAGATTGGATGCCAGTGTGAGGACACGGGTTCCGAACGCTGACGCGCGGCTCGTGTCTGTGCCCGCCTCCGCTGGGCGACGTAAAACATCGAGCATTACGGCCTCGTTATGTAGGAGGCGTTGCTCGTCCTCGCTGTTGCCGGTGGCGGGGCCTGGTCCCTGTGCCTGCGACAATAGCTGCGTTCGATGTACACATCGCGACACTGTTAGCGCGAACACGACATCGGCTCACTTTATTATTTTACTTTTAAATAGTATTAGCGAGCACGAAATTTTGTCGCTTATATTATAGAACTAAATGAGCTATTTCCGTAGCAATAATAACTTGGATGACATCCCTTGGTTTCACAAAGAAAAACTGGAAAAACCGGCAATCGCTTGTTCGCGCTAACAGTGTCGCGCTCTGTACTTGCACCTGCTGCACCGGTGCAGAAAAGTGTAGGGCAGTGTACTTCCGGTATGCGTATTGAGAGATACGACCGGAAGTACACCGCCCTACCCCTGTCTGCATCGGTACTGGAGGTCCAGGTCAATCAAACGCAGCTACTGTATGCTTCCTTCGCCACGCACGCGGCAAAGTAAGAAGCTCACGCCCTTAATCGGTGAAGCTCCGGAAAATTTCTTTCGGCGTTACTTCCAGTCCTAGAAATTATTAATATTATTTTTTTATATATATACAGTAGTGAACAAAAAGATATGATATTTTTGTTTCTTTTACAGAAGTATTGCTCGACGTCTAGTGAATAGCCAATAATATTTTGTCCATGCATCGTCGCTGCCAAGCGGTGATCGATGCAAAGGGTTTCCCTACAAAGTACTGATCAGATTAAGTTTATATCTAGACATAGGGTTTTACGCGATGTCCTATTTTGTCACAACAGCCACATTATTGACGACGCCCTCTTGCAGTGCTGTTACCAGGCTGGCAATAGATATCGATTACAAAAAAATTGATTCATATTTAAGTAAGCACCAGTTTCTACTCTATAAATACGTTAATGTAGTGTCCCATTACATTTTTTTTATATCTGTATCACAGTTCGAAGAAAAGTTACCCACGTAAAACCGAAATATCATATCTTTTTGTTCACTACTGTATATCTGCATACCTTGGCATTTTCAATGTTCTTAGCACGTTTTGGCTGAGATAGAAGGAACTTATGAATGGGCTAAAGTAATATATAACGAAAATTTTTCTGCAGCAAAAATTACCCTATAACTAAAAAAAAAAAAAAAAATTGTACGCAGTGATTGACGTTCGTCTCGTTGCAGCCTCCAAAACTTGTGTCTCTCATAATTTGGCCGAAGGGCCTGCCTGCCTGTCTGGTTTTGTGTTACGGCCGTCAAACTTCTCACACAATCGAGAGAGAGAGGTTAGTTTAAGCGATTAAGTGAACTTTTCATGACGTCTGAATTACACGGGATCAGCATGATACGCCCGCAATGCGTATAGTTATGCGATTAAATGCTTAGTTCGATTGGTTGGCGCATTACTCAACAGATTAGGCACGTTAGATGAATGCTAAGAAGGAGACGATTAGATTACCAAATAGGACCCCAAGGATCCAGGCTCCGATCCCACCCCCGCCCGTTTCGATCTGGATGAACATCATACCGGCGTACGGGCGAGTGTCATTACTGCGTGATGAACGTTTTAAAGACCCCAGGCTGTATACCTTCACTTGGGAACCAGTGTCGTCATACATGGGCAGACCAACCTCACGCTGTCTAAACACTAACGTATCATTTGATTGAGGGGGATCGGTGGCCGAGTGGGCTAGCGCACACCAGCTCGGAACACGTAAAGCTGAAGCTCGCGCTGCAGAACCCGGAGATCCTGAGTTGAATCCCCACCCCTGCCCGTTTCGATCTCTGGATGAGCATCGTACCGGCGTGCGGTCGTGTATCACCACTGCGTGATGCACGTTAAAGACCCCAGGCTAGCGGTAGTACCGCACTGGCTAAATTCTACAGCTGAGAGACAAGTCGCCCTTTCAGGCAGACTAAATTCAGGCTGTATAAACATTCCCAGAACCTAATTTTTTTTGTATATATATATAATTCGATTTTCTCTGCTTGCGCTTTGTTCAGCTTATTCCCCTCGCGCTCAAGCGTGAGGCGCACGAACTCCGCCGATGGCCCCCGATGTGATGGACGTCAATATGTCAGTCGGTACATTGGCGTAGTGGTGGAAGCTACGTGCTCGCTGGATCAGTCAACTGTCGGTCTTGCACCGCCTGATCAAGCTCTCTGCGCATACTCGCGAGCAGAGATTAGGTTCAGGCGATTGATTGGTTTGGCGAACGCGTAGCTTCCCCTTATCTGTCAGTCTCTTGCTTTGTTCCCCCCTTTTCTCTGTTGCTTATTGCAATTGATGAAGTTACGGAACTCGGGCTTTGCTAATTCTGATAATCTCCGGAGAAAGTGTTTCCGTGTCGGCCAAACCAAAAGCAAACCAAGGGCACCGTGCGCGTACTGCGTTCAGTTTCGAAAGAAATAGCCGGGGAGACGTCACGACGAAGAGGCCTGCGAGACAGTCTGACCATTGTGCTTGCCTTCCGGCTTCTTCGGAATGACTCGCCCTATATGATAGGCCTGCGTTTCATTGTTGCTTCGCGTTAGAATATTTTTTTTTTTTTTTACTTTTTCTTAAGTATATTTGCGAACGACTGTTATTTTCGTTTCTCTGAAACACAGAGTGTAGCCTTTAATGTGTTGGACATCTAAGCCCTTACAAACATCGAAATTAAAACGACATTTTGTTTCTGCCGCCATACGTACACTCTAAAAAATGCCTGGTCGTCTACTTACCCGCAAAAACACCCAAAGAGACAATCTCTGCGACCTACGAAATCAGCTCAACGAATGATTAGGCGGAACATCCGTTTAGACTTAAAAATGAAGTCTGCGCTGTGGCATTACGCAATGCAATGCAAAGCGTCATAATTGCATTGCGTAATGCCACAGCGCAGACTTCATTTTGAGGTCTAAACGGATGTTGGGTCTCATCATTCGCTGGCTGATTTCGTAGATCGCAGAGATTGGATCTTCGAGTGTTTTGCAGGTAAGTAGACGCGCAGGCATTTCTGAGGGTTTAAGTATTAATCTGCTTTTTTTTTTTTCTTTTTTTTTTTTTTTTTTTCTTGTGTCACTGAGTTTCTGACATTCGGTTGAATGGGTAGACGGTACCAGCAATAAATGTTCGGAATGTTTTGGTTAGGCGTGTTTCCTAGGTTCACAAAGTCACACGGGAAGCATTACGATTACTAGCATTAACAAAAGATGCATAATATAATCCCATCATTAGCATGCTCCGTGTCTTTAGCAGTTCTTCGAATTGTGCTGTTATATTTCGCATATGCGTTCTGCCAGAGTTTGCTTCGATACAATCCTTCCGCGCGTTCACTGAAACCAAACGTTAAACAACGAAACACAAATATAATCTTGCCGCCGTGGTGCAGCACTAGATAGTCGCAGTGATGCAGTTGAGAAAACACAGAAGAGTCAAATGTGACGCGCTCAGCCTGGCTCAGCACAGCGCTCCAGCTTCCCTGGCCAAAGCTGGCCTGAATCCCCACTTTCCAAGCCGCGATCCTTTCATCCTTTCAACAGTGTGGCTCCATCTCGCGGCGCTTGCTGAAATCGCAGATGTGAGTCATCGAAGAGAGAAAGGAGGGGAACGGTGGAAAGAGGAATGAGCAGAAGTTTGGTCGGAGTGCCGATAGAGGGCGCAGCATGCCGTTCGTTCGGCTTCCTGCGAAGGTATGCTGTGCGCGCTCGCGTTTTTCGCTGTTTACGCTACCAACCAGAGGAGGCGCTGCACCACGCACTCCCTAGCACGCACTCCCGGACGTCTTGTTTCGTAACTGGACAATATAACCGGGAATGCGTCGTTCGTACTGTAGAGTTTGGAGTTTGCTACAAATGTAGCTAGGAGCTGAGCTGGTGCTTCGACGTGCGAGAGCGCGCTTCCGTGCGCATGCCCAGCCGTTGCCTAGCGACACTGGGGGGCTTCCTCCTCTGTACGCCATCCTCCAGTAAATGCTCCTCAGCGGCCTACCACCTCCCGGGCTCCAGCTGGTTGCTTGCATCATGTGAAATATAGTTACTGAATCACCCATCTTTCTGTCAAGCGAATCGTGAGGGAAAAAACAAACAAAAAAACAATGAAGGTACAGGTAAAAACACGTGCGAACGTTTCTCGTTCATAAATTGTTCGCATTGTCGGAATGTTTAGCTTGCAATGACATTAATGGTCACAAGGTCGTCCTTTCCAGCTATCTTCCCTTTCTCTCTGCTGTCAATGCGCCGTCTCCTCTGTGCGAGGTATAACTCACGCCATAAATGGGCAAATTGCTCGTGTAATGTAATTTAATTACAGTTACGATTGCCTGGCTCCAAAAGTAGCAATTGCACGTAGAAATGACACTGCACAAAAGGTGATTCAATAATTTATTCGTGAAACGAAAGCAAAGAGGGGAGGCGAGCGGGTTTAACTGTAAACCCTGCAGCGAAGCTAAGACGTGAAAAAGGGACAAATACCAAACTCAGACGCAGCTTCATTACCTTTGAAAACTCATTCAATTACTTAAATGCATTTGTCAAAAGGATTAATTACTTGACTGTTACGGTACTTTTGAGACCCAGTTTGATTGATATATAACTTGACAGCATTTTATCCGCAGTTAAAGGGGCGGTGCAACGATGTTTGTATTTGGCGAAAATACCACTTAGAATGTATCTCTGACGTTTGTAACCTATGAAACACGCGTTAGCTTTTCTCCTCACGCAATGGTAGCCACAGGCAAAAATGAAAGGAAGACGAGCAGCGTTTACCCCCTCAACTCGCTGCCAGAACAATCGGCTACGTGATCTGGAGCTGATTATATGCCCCCACCAA